AGCGGGACCACAGGGCTGGGCAGGCGGCCTCCCGGGGGGCTCTGCAGAGAGGGGCAGCGAGGTAATCCTGCCAGCCCACCCGGCGCTGCGGAGGCCACGGCAGCTAACAGGAAACCAGGGAGCAAAAAAGCTGCTGGAAACCCTGGCTTGCGAGGGAGGGCTGGAGAAAGCCTGCCGACATCGCAGCAGCCACATCACATTTCAGCCAAAACTGGGGGAAAAAAAAAAACAAAAAAAAAACCCTAAGGAAAGCTCTGATTAAAAATCCCCTGCAGATTTGGACACTGTTCACTGCTACCCAGCTCACTCAGCTTTCCCAAAGCCCTCCCTTGCATTTTTGAAGTCTGTTTCTTGCTCTTCAAGCTTATTTCTACTGATGATGTTTTGGCATGATGAGAAACCTAAGAGGGCTGTGTTCCTGGCTCCATCTATACCCCTGCTCAGGAAGCTGCAGCAGAGACCCTGGCCAAGGAGCATCTCTAGTTACCATCACATCCAATTTAAAGCTTTCAAAGAGCAAAAATAGCAATTGTACTGCTACCCCTAAATAGTAAATAGCTAAATTTATTAATATGTAACAAGACTTTACAGAAGGGTTAGAGAGGAGAAATGCACAGAATTTGGGTGGAAAACACGCAGTGCTCTCATACCACCGTATGTGGAGTTGGACAGTTGGCTGCTAGGTCAGAAGGGACCCTGAAGCAGGCTCGCACTCACAGCTTTGATCATCCCAAAATAATCCTGCAGTGACAATTCCCCCAGTGTTAGGAGCTCAGCCTTGTACAAGATGGTTGTGTTTCTAGGCAGTATTCAGGATGCTGGTGTGAATCACTGCCCCAGGCTACAGCTGTTTTCCCACATAACTATTCTTTTTTTCCTCTGAAAGCTGGGAAAAAAGATGGCTTGAAACAACACAAGGCTGCCCTTTTCCAAGGACCCATCAGCTCTTACCTCCATTCTCAGCACCCATCAACTTTGCTGTTACCCCCCCTTAAATGTCACATCCTAACAAGGGACACCTGGTCCCAAACCCTGCCTCACACAGCAACCTCCATAACAAGCTGAAGACACATGTGGGGCAACTGAGCCAATCCTCCCTGCCCTCAGCCCCTTCCCCGAGGGCCTGCCCTAGGAGGGAAGCTAAGCAGAGATTATTTTTTGGCTCCCAGGGGATCAGCTGCCCCCCCACCCCCTAGCTAGCAGCAACAGTCACTGCATGAACCTATTCCCATTTGGTGCCAAAAGATTATGGCAGCATTTGAAGGCTGAGTGAGCCCCACAGAACCCTTTTTCCCCTTGTCACCCCAGTTCCTTTTCTGCTTTTCACCTTGAGGAGAGGGACCCAAGGGACCCTGTCGGTGGCTCACAGCATCCCTATGCCATAAGACAGCAAGTCAAGCCCATGGATGGCATCGCCCAAAATAGCAACCAGCCAAGCAGAGCTCTCAGGGGACAGGGTATGCCAGGAAGGGTGGTTAGAGGGGAAAATTCACTCAGGCCTATTCGTACTGCTGTACATGGACCCAGGTGATCACTAGCAGGTTAAAGAGGTCCCTGGGGAGTCAGAGGCTTTGGAAAAAGCAGACTCACAACTTTCCTAGTCCAAGGATGGCAATTGCCTCCATAGCCACAGCCCATCCTTTTAAAATGTTTGTGTCTCCAGGCAGCTCTTTGTATTAAGCTTTCAGTTCCTGGACCACAGATTGCATAATGCTGGAGGGTGTCATTGTCCCACATCAGGTCCATTACCCTGTTTTTCTGCCATTTTCTTACTTACCTGCTTCTTTTTTCCTCTTTGTTTTGCTTCAAGCCATTTTTCCAAGGACCAGTGATTGCCCATCAGTTCATGTCCCTAAGAAAAACCCCTTTCCAGTCCACACCCACCTCTTCAAGGTGGTAGCTGAGCATATTCCTGTTAGCTCAGCCTTAAATACCCCATCCTTACAAGGGACACCTGGTCCCAAGCTCCATTTCACCCAGCAGCTCTCATGACAAGCTGATAACACACCTGACAGCCCCGCTCCTGAGACCTGACATGCTTGGTGTAAGACCTCGTTAGCCTAACGCCTGCAGCCTCTTAGCAGGGGAAAAACTGTATTTATGGGGCCATCAATGGCAAGGCCAGGCAGTTCGGGACCCTGGCCAGCCCAGTGCACACCCTGTCACCCATGCAACCTCCCAGAGCACCCATGCAGTGCACCCTACAGCTGCAGCACCCCAAAAAGTCTGCCAACCCTCTGCAGAGACCCTCAGCCCCTATGTCCCCTGCCCCCCTAGACAGCTGACAGAGGCAAAGAGATAACAGTGGTGTGCATAGCGATTGTGGTTAGATTTTATTGTCTTTTTTTTTTTTTTAACCCATATTATTGTTATAATACAAAATATACAGACTGGAGATGCCAAGCGGGTTGTGGGTCACCATGCCCCGGGGCTGGGGGTCACGCCATGCGACCTGCAGTGTGAGGGAGGAGGCAGCATCTGCTCTGTGTGGCAGGGGACAGTGGGTACCCCAGAGAGCCTGGGTGGAGGAGGACAGGGGAGAAGGAGACAGGAGGAGTAAGGATTGGGATACCTGCCCTCCCACCCTTGGGAGACTGCAGGTGGGAGCTCGGCCCCATGGCAAACCCAGGAACAGGACTGTGAGATGAACAATGTGTTGAATGAACCTAAAAAACACATCACGTCTGCACGGGCTGGGCCAGGGATGGTCCCGCTGGGGAGCAGCCCCGTTGCTTTGGCTCAGGGCCCCGGCAGGGGGTTTCTAACAGCTCCGACACCAGGGGCTCAGCCTGGGTCTGGGGCCCATCCCAGCATGGGTACTGGCCTTGCTCACCCCTTCCCCATTGATCCCGGACACCGCAGCTCAGGCCAGCCCCGACCGCCCTCGGCTGCTAAGGATGCGGAGGCAAGCAGAGCCGAGGCTGCCGGGGCTGGGTGCATTCCCAATGCCCGTGGGATTGCACAGAGGGGCTTCTGGGGTTAGTGTGGGCTCATTAGCCCATGGGCATCACTTCCCCAGCTAGGACTTGGAGGGCTATGTGGGCAGGACGGGCCTGCCTACACACACCCAGCTCTGAGGAGCTGTTGGTGATAAAGATGTGGGGAGCCCCAGGATGCTGGCTCCATCCCCGAGGTCCTCAGGCAGGCTCTCACCTCGGGGGCATGGCCGCACCAGGAGAAGGGGC